TACATAATATTCATTAAGTAGTTTCATTATTTGTAATTATCATTATATTTTATATAAAATCATAAATTAAAATTATATGAATCTCCCTTTTCACAATTTAATACATTGATAAACAAAAATTATTTATAATATTAAGAGCTCACCTCATGAAATAATTTAAATTATGCAACTTTTTTTAAAATTAGGTTAAATCTCTAATTTAGTTCCTCAACTATTATACTGATTTTTAGTTGGTTTTTCAACTTAAAAAATCTTTGAATTGGTCCTTAAAGTTTTTAATTTTGACTTCAAGTTGGTTTATTTGTTAAAAAAATGTTAATGTGTCCCATTACATGATGGGAAAAGGATGCCTCGTCAAAAAATTAAACACATGTACAATGAGATGGAAAATAAACTTTAAAAAGGAAGGCTGATTTGGAAATTTTAATAATAAAAGAAATAAACTTAAAACCTAAATGACTAAAATGCCTTTCATCTTCTTCTTCCCTACTTCCCATCATTTGTGCAAAACTTTTGGAAGCATCAAGCTCCTCTTCATCGATCTTCCTCACCCCTCTCTCCTTTGTGTTTCTCTTTCTTTTATTGGAATCAAAGCTTCATTCCACTCAATTCTTTGAAAAGAAATAATGAATCTAGATGAATCCATACTCTTACAATAAACCAAATTGAAAAACAAGAGCAATTTAAACTAGATTCATCCCTCTCTAACCACAATAAACACATTTAGAATAAGAAAAGGAAAATGGAATAAAAATTGGGATTTGATACAAATTGGGGAACTACATATAATTGATGAATCAATTGAACAAAAAACAAAGCCAACTTTAGAATACCCAAAATTAATGAGAGAGAACACACACACACAAAGAGACCTAGATTTGGGTTTGTAATGAGACAATCGCATGACGTGGAGGAACCCAAATTTGATGTTCGTTGTCACCATTGTTCATGTGATGTTGCAACCTATAAATAAAGAAGAGAAAGGAGAAACTCAAAGGTGATTCTAATGGAGAAATAGTGCTATATATCTGATTACACAAATAAAGGGTAAAAAAAAACAATGAAAACCCATAAACCAATGCAACAAGTCGATTTCAATATGAAATTAAAGGTGATTATACATTTTCTAAGGTTGATGTTGCTTTTACTATTGTTAGTTCCTCTGTTGGTGACAATTTGCGGGTATCCAAATGACGTGAACTTGTTTGAATGGCTCAATGGGACCATGATCAATGATCGTGGTTCAATTTGTTTAGGTTCACTAAATCGGCAAAGTGCTTGTAGTTTGATTTGGACTCATTTAGGTTATTAGGGTGAGGACATAGAACTTTTAGCACTTGTAAGGACTTGGCCAAGAATGTGGCTAGCAAGATTATCTGGGTGAGGATGGAGGTTATTAGTGATTGACCCATCAAAGAAAAGGAGGTTGAGGTTGTGCCAGTTGGGAGTTATTGCAGAAAGGGAAGGAAAAGAAGAGGAAAGAGAAAGGGAAAGAAAAAGAAAAAAAAAAAAAAGAATTAGAAATTTTTTTTTTTACCATGTTGTCATCTTAAGTGTATTATTGTTTTGACATGGCATCCTTCTTCGATCAAGTATGGGAGATGTTAGTGTTTTTTTAACAGAGGGACTAACTTGGAGCCAAAATTAGAGACTTTAAAAGCTAAATTAAGAATTTTTTAAGTTGATGGACTAACTAAGGGCCTATATAATAGTTGAGCGACCAATTAAGGGGGTTTAACCTTGAAGTTATGTTACTTTTTTTGGCAACTGGATCATTATGCGATCCGTCTCCAAGTCCAACCCATGAAAAGAATATTAGGATAGGGATAGGGATGGATATAAGATCCATACAAAAAACCCAAACAGAAAATCCAAGTCCACGAGCCCATTACCATTTCCTTAATCTTCACTCTCGCACATCGTTTGCAGGTTAGTTGGTACTTCGGTACATCCCAGATTCAGAATCGTCGTCGTTTTCACCTTCCCGTCGTGAGTCTGGTGACGGCGAGAGCCAGAAAGCCGTAAAAGATCCGGCAGATCGTTCAGTTCAACCGAGGAAGATCGACAGAGGAGAAGAAGAAGAAAGCCTGAGAAGATGTTACCTACAGCGAACAAGGGACGTTCATCGTCTTCCACATCTCGATCTAATCCTATGTTTCCTCACTACCTCCGGCGAATCGTCAAGGTCTCTTCCCACTCCCTTTTACTTTTCCTCTTTCCTCCTCGATCTGATCTACATGTTATTCAAGTTTCCGATCATGCTAGTAGCTCTGGATTGGGTTGGATCAAATTAGGAGCTTTGCTGCAAACTGCTGCTTGTTTTATTCATTTTAATCGTTGTTTCTTGATTTATGTTGATTCTGCGTTCTTAGTAATGTGACTTGATAAATCTTAATAATGTCTGAAAATTTTAAGTTAAAAATTAAGTGAAGAGAAATGACAATCAGGAAGAAATGATTAGAGTGAGCTACATCTCTTTCTTTCTTTTCTTTCCCCCCTTTTTTTTTTTTAAATTTCTTTTCCTGTTTCTGGAGAATTTATGGAGAGAATGGACTACATTTTGAGCAAACTCTTTTAAGGTTCTGAATGTGTTACAGAAGCCTCAACTCCTAGTGTTAACACCTCTGAGCATGCAGATCTTATGGAATGCATTCATGTATTTTTTTTCTAATGAGATCAATAAGTTTACTCATTAACTTTGTCTATGTATTTGTGAGATCAAATGCGAGAGGCTTAGTTTGTAAGGTTCTGTAATGGATGGAGTTTTCTTGTTATAGTTATCAGTGTCTTTTTCTTCTCCTATGATTCTTCTGTGGCGCTCCATTCTTCTTTTCCTTTGTTTCACTAAGAAAGAAACTAAGCTTTTGTTAATAGGAAGTGTAGTCATCAGCAAATTCATTCTTTTTCTTCTTTGGATCCATGAGAGCACTGCCTGTTTTCTTGATCGTCTCATCGTCCAGTCATCTTTATTTTATTTTTGTATATCTCATTAAGTTTTTTCCCTTGTTTTGGTTTATGTAGTGGCAACAAATGGATATTGAATATTCTTTTTGGCAAATGCTTCACCTATGCACTGCACCAAAAGTCGTGTAAGTATTTTTTCCTTTGTATCATCATCTTGCTAATTATTTCATTGTTAAGTGTAACTATCATCTTGAATTCCTGCTTCCATTTCAGTTTTTGGTCTTGCATTATCCTAGTATATTCTTGATGTTCAGGGTATTCAGGAATCAAGATAGGGGATCTCAGACAGTACCCTAGCTTTATCCACCAAGCTTTAACTTTTTCAATTAATCATTCTTCCATGAATATAGCACCTCTATTTTTGAAATTCAAATGCGCTTTATGCTTTGTTTGCAAAATAGGTTTTAGGATATCTATGAAGGGAAGATGAATCCAACTCAATTTAGTAAATAAATTAGTTGGGTGCTGAATTGCCTTACTAGTTTTTCTTTTTTTCTCCTTATTGGCCAATTTTTTTATTTTTTATTTTCCTTTTGGAGGGAAAAATACAGAAAAAGTATCTTCATTATGTGTGTGGTAATATCTAATTACTATTCTTTTATTTTGCATGGAAAACTCTATGGTTGATGCAGCTATCAGCACACAAAGTATCACAAACGTAAGCCTCTTTCTAATTAAAGAACAATTCCTTTTTTTTCATCTGTTTGTTTTAAGTATGAGTACTTGTGCTGTTACTCAGAACATGCTATTATCTTGAAAAGCCTAGTTATGGGGCCATAGAATTTGTGGTTGATGGAGATATTATTTCATGGAACTATAATGTCTCTTCAAAAGGTCCTGCAATGTTTTGTCTCAATTTTGCATTCTCTGGGTTTGTGTTTTTAGGTTTAATGTCCATAAAGTCATTGAAAGTGTCAAAGTGTTAAAATTTTTCTGTTTTTTATCATGTGAATTGAAAAGTTCACTTGTCTTTTTGGTCTCAGAAACTAAAAACCAGTGGGCACGTGATGACCCTGCTTTTGTTGTTATCTGCAGCCTCCTCTTGACTGTCACAACCATTGCTTATTGTGCTGCGTAAGTTTCTTTTATTCTTTTAGTATTTATTCTTTCAGTATGGCTAGATATTAAGATGTACTATTGAATAGCGGTAATTATTATGTGGTTTGGCACATCAACCTTAGCTTGAAATAGTGGCTGAGTTGTTTTGGGGTATATCCTTGGTTCAAATTTACTGACCCAGGGTATTGCATTGTTATGATCCTTAAAGAATTGGCATGAAGTTTTATAGTCAAAGTTCTTGTGTGGAGTAGTAAGAGTTTAAGTTTTATATAATCAAAGGTTAACTAATGGTATGGCCCAAATTCTATAATAATTTGAATTTGTTTAGTTTTATACTTTTACCCTATAAAAGTGTTTGACTTATTCAAATTCACCTATTGATATTTATCTCGCTATGTTCTTTTGGATTCAGGTATGACCACAGTGCTTCACATGCTGTTTTTGTAGTCCTCTCAGTACTGCTTTTCCATTTTCTACTCACTGGAGCTTTTCTGGCTACATGTTGTTGGTAAGAGCTACTCTATTCAGCCGATCCAAAAGAAAAAAAAAAGAGCTACTCTATTCTAAAAAATTTTGTGCAGGTTTGTTTTGGGGGTTTCTTTGTCGTACTATTTTATGTTTGATCAATTTGTCTGACCCTGGTACAAGCATCTTAAAACCCTTCTCTATCAAAAAACAATAAAAATGCTTTTGGTAGTCTTTAGTAGTCGATTGTCTTAGTTAATCAATGTTGTGAATTTGTGATTGCTTTAGTTAGTGTGGTTGGAAAGAGTTATTATGATCATTTATTACAACTTGCAATCTTTTCATGATAACTATATGTGGTTAAAAAAACACTACAAAAATTTTACATTGCTATAGTTTTTGATGTTGATGTTAAACATATGTTCGAAATGTATGTTACTACAGAATTTTCACAAAGATTGCTTCGTTGATTAATATTACAGTCTATGAACTTCAAAATGAATTATGAAAACAAGAATTAGCAAAGAAAACAGGATCTTTCTGGAAGAATGCTGCAAGGGCAGTGCTTCTTGTTGTCAACTAGTTTGCCTATTCCATCAATCCCATTGTGTTGGGGTGAACTATGAGGCCCTTTTGTGATTCCTCAGATAGCACCAGTAAGATGTACCTGTTGTCCTCCTTTTAAATTTGGGCTTCTAGTCCTGAATGCCTGGGGATTAATCTTTCTAAGTGGTTTTTTTTTGTCTCCTAGAAAATACTTATGTGATAAATACTTTAATTGCCAGAAGTCTGTATTTGTTTGCTGTCATGAGGATGCTACAGTGGCTTCTATACTAAGCTCATTGAACATCATAGCCCCCCAGAAAGTGGCAAAATAGCTTTTATTTTGAAGCTGAGAGACAATAGCAAGAATAACCCATTCACTGTATACAATCTAAGCAGTTCCTTGGTGAAACCAAGGCTACCTTTTTCTGCTAATTCAAAACTTATGTCTGGGAATATTGGGATTTCACACTTCCTAAAGACCTTCACTGACCACTCCATTTGGAAATATCATTGTTGATATCATGGTGTAAGATTTTTGTTAAATGTACTGTATGACCAAGTGTGGAGCATTTTTCTTCTTCAAATACTTTTATGATGGGAACTTGCATTAAGAATGGCTGTGATTGTATTATTGGTAAAGTTTTACTAGTAGAGGTTGCAGTTATATGTCAAATAGATTAGTGTGATGGCAATTCCATTCCTTGGCTTCATGCAGGTCCCTGACAAATGCCTACCTACGGGAAGAGGCTCCAAATAGTCATGTGGTTGAGCAGCGGGTTGAATGGCAAGTTCCAATCTCAATTTCCTTTCTTGTCCATCTATCTGTCCAGTGTTGAATCTTATGCAAGCAAAATCAACAAAAATATTTGTATGCTACTTTCCTACTAATGTTTGGTTCTGACTGGGAGTTTTATTTTGGTTGAAGGCTCTATGCATTTGATGTGCACTGTAATTCTTTCTTCCCAATGTTTGTTATGCTTTACGGTAATTCTCTATGAACCTGTTTGGCCCTTAATTAATAGCCTTGATAAGTGGACCATAATGTGGCTAACATCATGTTTCTGTGACAGTTATACATTATTTCCTGTCACCTCTCCTGGTAACCCACAGCTTCTTAGCTGTGCTGCTGTCAAATCTGCTTTTCATGCTGGCCACTTCGTACTATCATTATCTCAACTTTTTAGGTTATGATGGTAAGCTAATTTGGTTATTATTTTACAGTTATTTTTAATGTTATTGAACTTGCAGCAAAAGAATTATTTCTTTGGTTTGACTAGTTAAAATAAATAGGATTTGATCTCAGAGTAGTTAATGTATTCATTTTTTGTGATTGCATCTGTTGTGGGGATGCCAGTGGGTGATAGGCCTTAATTATCAGTTAGTGAAGAAAAAGAGATTACTCTAGAAAAATTTATATCCTTTTACTTCCCAATCCCACCCCCCACCCCCCCAAAAAAGGAAAAAGAAAACACATTTCCTTGCTGTCTGTGCTATAACAATATATGCTTTGGGAAAAGGGAAAAAATTTTTTTACCCTAGAGATCATTTGGTTTATTAAGCCAATTAATTCATTGCTTCGAACAAATTTCCTGCTAGATATTTGGTTCTAGATTTTCCTTTTGTTTGTGTGAAAAATTAAAAACAACTTGTGGGTCTTCTCCCCAACCCTCTCTTTTTGTTTAAAAGAAGGAATGAACTTGTGGTGCTGAAACAATTTAGTTAAACTTAACTTGATATATTGTCAGCATTGGCTGTTGTTCTGAATTCAAGAAACATCAAATGATTTGTCAATGTTTGTTAACAACAAATCCTCATAACAGCTGACATGGCATCAAACAAATGTATGCATGTCAATTCAAGCATCTAATCTAGTGGAAACAGCTGATAAAAGCTACTATCATGTCATATTGTTAGGATTTTTTTGTTAACAAACATTGTTAATGAATCATTTTTGTTTAAAAAATAGCTGATTATTTGCGATCCTGAATTGCTCTAATCTTTCTGCTGCAGTACTTCCCTTTTTGGAGAGGACAACATTTTTCCTCTACCCGATTGGCATTGTAATTGTCCTTTCTCCTATCTGTAAGTACTGGACTTGATCCTGACTGTATTTTAGCTATATGATATTGTAGCTGAACTGAAACCTCATTTTTCCTTCTGCAGTAATTTTAAGCGGCTTCAATCCCTCAAGATACTTTATGAACATGTATTTTGGTCAAAGGTTGTGATTTACTAACACTAGAGATACTACAACTTACGAGGAGCATCACTAGTTTGGAGACAGCACATACATGTTAAAACAGATGAACGGAGCCCGAAGGATAAGTAGGGGATAAGGGAGGGGATCCCATCTTCAAGAGGCAATTGAAGGAGTTTCTCTCGTCATCAGTAACGGAAATTAGAGGTAATTGGAGTTAGAATTGGGAGTGATTTTTCAGTGGTGAAGATGATTGATGATAATCGATCTATTAAAATTGTAATGATTTTGACCATCTCGTCAATTCTGTTAATACATATGGTTATCAATCTGGGAAATCAGAGCTGATACGAGATGCATGTCCAGATTCTTTTTGTATTTGCGGACTTTATCAATATAGGACTCTTTCCACGGTGTAGTTAGTCCTTTTTTTTTTCTCTCCTTTTGTATTTGATGTGATGATATTTAAAATTGAGAAATAATTTTGAGATAATTTTTTTATAACACTTTTTTGGTATCATCTTTGGGTGCAACTTGATATATCATTTAAATGATTGATTTTTTTATTTATACAAGATTGTAATATTGAATGTATTTATTTATTTAATGATATGTAAAAATTATATTAAAAAATAATATAAAAAAATTATTCTCATAGCATCCCCCTTTAAAATTCTAGTTCAACAGGCTGCAACTTGGAATGGGAAAACGATAACAGAAAGGATGTAAGGCATGACGAAGATGTTTTTGGATGGCCTCCAACCTCGCTATCAAAAAATTGTAAATGGCACAAGAGCGTCCTTCACGATATGATTGCTTTGGAAATTATTTAATTATTTTTGATAAATCTTTATCGTATGTTGAATTTTTGATCTCTTGAAAGAGCATTTTAATTGATCTTGTTAAAATGTCTTAGTTTTTTCTCGATTCCCTCTATATATATGCACCTCTAAAAATTTAATGGGATATATTGTTAAATGAGAATACTATAGTAGTCTGATTAAAATTTCAGGAGTTTTGCAATTTTCAATTTGAAAATTTAAGGGGCAATTGATAGAAATTATTCTCTAATGTTTAGACAACTAGAAAATTAACGTTACTGAAATATTTAAGAAATACTTAATTTCAATGCATTTTTTTTATGTCATTACATCAGCTTTATCTGTCAAATTTGTTCAACTTGTATTTTTTAATTTTTCAAATAACTTGAATGTGCATAAAATAAAAATTAAAAGACTACAAATATAAAACAAATATTAATTTAAAAAATTAAAAATGTGTATAAAACAAAAGTTTAAAAACCAAAAAAATGTTTATTGTACATATTTAATGGACAAAATTGAAAAAAAGATGAAAAGAGTATATTTTTTATAACTAAAAAACTATAAAAATATATAAAAAATAATTTAAGAATTGAAAGTATTTAAAATTATAAATTTAAAGATTAAATCTGACATTTAACTAAAAGAGAAAAACCTCGACGTGAAAGATCTATGGCATTTTTCAAAAAAATGCGATTTGCAACATGCGGCCCGGATTATCCAAATCAAATCACCAAAAGAGAGCACTACCAGTCCAGATGGGCTTGCAATGTGTAGCAAAGATTTTTTTTTTTTTTTTTTAACAAGTTGTCAACAGCTTTTATGAGTAGGAGGAATGCACTTCAAGTTGACAAGTTGTTAGTTGATTCGAAAGATCAGGCACATGTAACAAAGATTTTGGTTCATACTAAAATTTAAGTCCTCATAAAATAATTAAATAATTGTAATATGAGTTACTATTTATCCACTTTATTTTTAAAAAAATTAAGAAAAAATAATAAAAAATACTTTAATTTAGATTTTAAAAATAAAATATTTTGAATTTTTTTCAATAAATAATTATTAAAATGACATAATTTTAAAATAATATCCTTCTTAAATTTTAAAAAATAAGGCAAATAAACACTATTTTCATTGTAATATTTCCTTTCTTCTCTAAAAATTTCTCTAGTTTTAAAAAAAAAAACCCCAACAAAACGGAGTCATCAAAAGACAAGTCCATTTGTATATATCCCACAACAAAATGTAGACAAATAAAAGGTAGCACCAAATTCATCAAATGAGACAATCACAAACACAACTTAATGTGTACAATCTTTTCTCACTCAGCCGAGTTGGATCACGTTTCACTCTCACGCCAGCAATCACAGCAGTGTGAATTAATCATTATGCTATAACTTAGAAATAAAATCAAACACCTCATCTTCATCTCTATTGCCTTAGACTCAAAGATACATAGAGTATTTTCTTAATTTATTATACAAAATTATCATTTATAAACTTCAACATAAATTTCCAGCTCCGCCACCAACAAGAGGGTAGGTTTCAACAAACACAGCAAAAGAAAAAAAACAAAAAATTCAAATCATGGACCCATTCGTCTTTAAGTATGTTGAATTTTATGATAGGAAAAAGACCCTACTGATCAATCTTGCTTCCGGCGATATCCACGACGAACCGGTATCTCACGTCGTTCTTCTCAAGTCGCTCGAAGGCTTCGTTGATATAATCCAGCTTCACCACCTCAATCATGGAGGTCAGTTCCTTCTCCTTGCAGAACTCAAGCATCTCCTCTGTCTCCTTCATGCTTCCGATGAAGCTCCCGGTGATCGACTTCCTCCCTGCCCCATATTAGAAACAATTAATTTTCATTAAAAAAAAAAAAAAAAACAAATAACCAGAACACCGGATTTGTTTCCGATGATATTAACTCACCTAGCATCACCATCGGACTAACGAATTGCAGAGGAGTATTTATAACGCCGGTCAAAATCAGCTTTCCGTCCACCTTTAATATGGAAAGGTAAGGCTCAAGAGGGTGGAAAACCGGCACGGTGTCGATGATGTAATCGAGGGAGTCGGCAGCACGTTGCATACCTTCGGCATCGGAGCTGACCAGATACTCGTCGGCGCCGAGATGCTCCAACGCCTCCACTCTCTTCTTATCAGAGGAGCTTATGACAGTCACGTGGTGCCCAAATGCTTTGGCTATCTTCACCCCCATGTGCCCGACTCCTCCCAGCCCCAGAATGCCTCCTCTGAGACCACTCTGTTTCAGTCCGAAGTGATGCAGGGGACTGTACACCGTTACTCCGGCGCATAGCAGCGGAGCCGCCTGTTCCATTGCCATACCATCTGGGATTTTCACCACAAACCTGAGATAAAATTGAATTGATTAATTTCTAAATAGGAAAGTTAGTTACCAACTTATCATAAAAAACAGAGTATGATGGAAACTATTGGATCATAACATTTTTACTTTTGATCGGCGACCAAAGCGCTGGCGAAGCCTCCTTGAGTGGGCTTGCCGTCGGTGTAGACATCGTTATAAGACCAGATCTTCTTGTTGCAGTACTGTTCATTGTCTGTGTTGCAGGGGCGGCAGTTTCTGCAACACCCCACAATGCAACCAACGCCAACTATGTCTCCTGCTTTGAACTTGGTCACGTTAGATCCGACCTCTATCACCTCACCCACCACTTCATGCCTGAAAACCAACACCGGAAATTGCAAAAGAAAGTGAAAAAAAAAGAAAAATGAAAAACAGAGGAATCACTCTTTTATGATCCGTACCCTGGAACCATTGGATAATTTGACATGCCCAAATCATTTTTTGCTTGATGGAGATCGGTATGGCAAATCCCACAACAGATAATCTTGACATAAACATCTTCTGGACCCGTGTTTCTGTAAATACAGATTAGCCGAGTTAATATCCACTCATTTGATAACTTTAGTTCTAAAACTATTGTCATGGGAAAAAATAGAAATGAATCAAAAGCCATACCTGAGAGTGTAGGTATAAGGAGAGAGAATCCCAGATGGGTCTCTGGCCGCCCATCCTGTTGTTGTTCTCTCAGATTCAAGGGTACCCATTTTTTCAGAAAATTGAGGGAGGGAGAAATGTCAACGGAGGAGATAAGGTGATGAGAAATACACATCCACTGAAGCAGCTATATAAACAAAAGGGGAAGGACAAACCAAAGCAATTGGAAATGGAAAATGTCAGCAACAAAGGGAGGAGGGTAGGGCGTGGTAGGTGGAATCCAGGTGTCGGAAATCCAATGGTGG